CCTAGGATATTTAGAATTAACTTGATACAAGCAACTTCCTGCTCTGATGATTTATCCCTGAGATACCAGCATCTTGGTCTGGGGGCATATGTAACAAGGCCACTTGCTCAGTCCCCAAGGTGGGCTGAGGTATTGTTTGTTAAAGAGTAAGTTAAGAATTTCTAATGTCTTAACTTCTTGGGTATTAAAATGCAATCTTATCTTTAAGGTGGAATCCTTCTTGCCTTTTACTGTGTTGTTTATGCCTGGGCCTGCGTGCTAAATTAGTTTGCCCAGTTTGCAAAATCACTTCATCAGATCTGAAGGAGGAAAGACACCACATAGGCCTGGGCTTTTTAGCATGTTAAAGCGAATCTTACACATGATTATAAATGATTAGCATAAAAAGAACATGTGCTACTCTTCTTTATCTGGGGAATATTAACTGATTTCACTGAAGAATGACTGTAGAGCTGAATGTTTAACACAGAGTTTTGGTAGGAGGTTTCCTTGCATGTAGTTACATTGCTCTGACTGCAAATATTCTGCCTTGCTTTTTCCAGAGGCCCTCACCCTACTCTGACTACACCCACGGTTCCTCTTTCAATACTACCATCATCTTGCCCTATGAACACAGGTATGTGACACTCGATATTCTGTATAGAAGACATTCTCAGAGCCATCCTGCTGCCAAAGAGAGAGAGACCTTTCTCTCTGCTCACATGTTAAACTCTAGACAGAGAAGAATGTCCTAAGTTTAATATTTCAGTTACTTATTTTCCTTCAGAAAATAAAATTTGCGGAGCACACAAGAGGGATTCAATAAATTTAGTCAGAGTGCACGAATGAATAATTTTTCCCCCAACAGTTCCTTGGTGGGCTTTTACCATCTGTCTGGTGCCCTGCTCTGAAGTTTTCCTCTTCTAATCCCAGAGTGAGCGCACCTCTGTGCCCAGTGCCACTTCCGCCCTGACAGCTGTGCTTCTGGCAGTGGGTCTCAGCCTCAGTGCCTAGGCACAGTAACAGGTTTTCCCTGATCAGCTCCTATATACTTCTCATCAGCAATTTCTTAAAAAATCTGTAATCTTCATTCAAGCCTCTCATCTTTACCATTGACTACTCTCCAAAAGTTTGATAAATGGAGATTTATGCAAAATTGACACTTAAAGGCTTACTTTTCATATTCTGCATTTTACATGTACTTCATGAAACAGAATACTAGTAACATGGTATTGAATCATTTTCTGGTCTATCCCCAAATAATCACAATTACAGGAGTTATACTCACATTGGATTATTGCACTGGCGTGTTCTGAAATGAACACCAGTTCCACAGGTCCGGGAACAGGAGCCAAATTTGGTCCATGACCCCCAGTTGCCATCTTGTTTTTGTTGATTAGCATTCTTCCACATGCAGTGACCCTTGTAGCACCACTTTGGAAAATGACAAAAAGCAATTATGAAAGCCGTACATATGTTAAGCTGAAGTTGTTACACAACTGAAGGACTTAATTTCTTCTTTGTACACCACCCACCCCACAGACCCCTGTCCCCCACTGGTGAAAAATGCATTTAAAATTATCCTGAAGCAATTATTATAATAAGGTACCCTCTACAAAGAATAATTTAGACTTGTATCTTTAAGTATAAAATGAAAATGAAAAAGTAACATTCACTCAGCCAAGTTTTCAAATTATATATTTATTGTATCAACCACCCACTAAGAATGAGGTGAGCACTCAAATGCACAGTAGATGCTATTCTACCCTCATCCTTCCTCATGTATCTTCTCAGTAATTTTTGAGGGCAGTATGCTTCCTTTCAAAATAAATGGAAAGTATATAACTTAACTTAGAAAATAATTAACATTACATATCTAAAACATATAATTTTCAAAGCACTTCTACATACTTTTCAAAATTTTCATTCACAATTATTCTGAGAGATAAGTCAGTTGCTCGAAAGGTATTAATTCTTTTGTTTCAGCATTTTAACCTGCTTTTTAAAATCTTACATACAAGTGTTCCTTAACACTCAACCTTGGTAAACTTTAGTGTAACATAAATATATTTAGACAAGTTGGATGTTAATTTATGGGGTTTCTTTTTCATAAGGCAAAAATGAATCAACTCATTGCTCATTTTTTTAGTTGAAAGTCTGTAATGCTGAATTTTTCCAGAGTCACACACTGTGTGTAAAGTGGATAGCACAGTGCCTAACAAAATATGAACACAAATAATGGCAAGTACAGTTTATATGCATTTGAAATAGAGCTTTAAAAAGGCTTTAAAAGAACTAAAAGCTATATAATACTTCTTTGCCAGGTTTTAGTCCTGTCTACAATATCTTATTTCCAAACCAGTCAAGGCTCCTCAGCTTTAGTTCTTAACATGCCTTTGTTTTGGGTTTGGTGATCTTTCCCCTTATAAGTAGTGTAGCTTGGCATCTGGCCACTTTCTGAGTGTTCAATCCTGACTACACAACTTGAGATTTAAAACCTCTGGGCATCTCTCCCCAAGGAGCAAGGCCAAATCTTCTGCATATGTTCACATGACTTTATTTCTGGACAACTTTCACAAGGAGTTGGATGCCAGCAAGTAAATCAAATCCCATTAGCAGCGGCCAGATATTCTCAGCTGAGCTGCTGCTTCCTATAGATAGCTACTATTCTATCAGTAGTAGGCTGAAAAGTAGTCCCAAAGATGTCAGATCTTAATCCATGGAATCTGTAAATGTTACCTTATTTGGAAAACAGTTATGGCAGAAACTGATGTGATTAAATTAAGAATTTTGGGATGGGAGGTTATCCTCAGTTATTCAGGTGGGCCCTAAATGCCATCACATGCCTCCTTATAAGGGAGGGCAGAGAAATTTGCACATGGGCTATGTGGCCATGGAGGCAGAGACTGGAATGGTGCAAATGCAAGTCTAGGAATGCGGGCAGCCATCGGAAGCTGGAAGAGGCCAGGCAGATTTTCCTCTAGAGTCTCTGGAGAGAATATGGTCTTGTCCACACATTGATTTTGACTCAGTGAAACAGATTTGAACCTCTGGTCTCTAGAACTGAGCCATAGAGAATAAATTTCTGTTATTTTAAGCCCCCAAGGTTGTGGTAATTTGTTATAGCAGCCATAGGAAACGATGTTAGCACATTATCATAAGGAAACTTCATGTACTGTGGTTTTCATAAAAATGACAACACAGCTATGTTCATAATTTTCCAGGTTACTAAAAATGATTATTATTCAGTATATCTTAAGTCTTCATTGTCTAAATAGATACTCACTTTTCCAGCAGCACATTCAGTCCCATCAAGTGGGGGTCCCTTTTTAGTCTTACAAAAGTAGGGATTATCTGGATGGCTACACCACAGCTGTTTACATGGGTCAAAGGTTCGGAACTGGAAGAGAGAGAGAATCAAAATCTCATTGAAATACAGATGGCATGACATGCACACATGAATCTTCTGTACAGCTTCTTCATGTCACATTTCTTGGCTATTTTAATTTCAAGTTTACAGTTGAAGTTGTAGCATGTTAAGAAAAAAATTCTGCCTAAGAATTCCAAGGACAGAACACTTATACTGCTTTTCTAACAATGATAAACAATAATTTGGGATTCTCTGGATAGCATTCAATATTTCTGCATGTCATTTTTATTTTGTTTTTCAAACAGACAATATTGAAATTTTAAAAACAGTAATTATTACCACTTTAAATATGAAGAGTTATTGTGATGGTTTGCAGCTCTCAAGCCATCAAAATGACTTCTTTGCATCCCTAGGATGAACTAGTCAGATATAAATAATAAAAATGCCCATTATAATGAGCTGACTAAAAGCAGAAAATTTTTGTCAGATTTCTATGTAAAATAAGGCATTCCAGGTGTAACAAAATACACAGTACACAGTACATTCATGTAGCTTGTACATGCATTTGATTCTCACAACATTCCATGGCTGAGAAATACGGGTTACAAGGTAAGGCGGTAGTTATGACTACAAGTAAGGGAGCAACAGAGCCCGATTAGAATCTTAGTTGTCTCACTATTACAGATGCTTTTTATTTTCCTGAAATACCACATTATAATATCCAAATGTCTGTTTAAGTGCATGTATCTGTGTGTGCTCTTTATATGTCTGCTCTCTTTCTAACTGCAAACTCTTACCATTCTTTAGATAGATTTTCTTTTATTAAGGTATCATTGATATATAATCCTATGAAGATTTCACATGAGCAACATTGTGGTTATTACATTCACCCACATTATCAAGTCCCCCTCCCCATACCCCATTGCAGTCACTGTCCATCAACGTAGTAAGATGCTATAGAGTCATTACTTGTCTTCTCTGTGCTATAGTGCCTTCCCCATGACCCCCCTACATTATATGTGCTGATCATAATACCCCTTAATCCCCTTCCCCCTCCCTCCCCACCCACCCTGCCAAACCCCCACTTTGGTAACCGCTAGTCCCTTCTTGGAGTCTGTGAGTCTGCTGCTGTTTTGTTCCTTCAGTTTTGCTTTGTTGTTATACTCCACAAATGAGTGAAATCATTTGGTACTTGTCTTTCTCTGCCTGGCTTATTTCACTGAGCATAATACCCTCTAGCTCCATCCATGTTGTAAAAGATAGGATTTGTTTTCTTCAGATAAATTTAAAATATATATACATATATATATATTTTAAGATATATATATATATATATATCTTAAAGACCAGTTTATCTACATTTTTTTCTATAACATAAATTACCCAAAGCCTTATGGTCATAGCTTTTTAAAATGAGTACTCATTTTGGACCTTGGTTTTTTGTTCTAATGCCTATTACTTAATGCACAAATTGTATTTTTCCATAAAACTGAGCCAAAGCTTTAGGATTCTCAGGTCTAAAGCATTAATGCAGGCAATTAGGAGCTGACTGTACAGCTTATAGACGGACCAAATGACTGTAGGAATCTACATATGGAAGACTTCCCACAGCAGATCAACTTCTCTTTGGTACCATGAAATACTATTTTTCTTGCTCTAACACATAAAGCTTACTCCAATGTAAACAAAGCCCTTCCTTTCTTTTTTTATATTTATGAACTATTAAAGTTCAACTCTGGAAGCTTAATGAAACATACCTCTAATCTGTATAGCTACATGGAAAACTGACTTTCCTAGCTTTCATTGATCATTTACTATTTGCCTAATGATTCTGCTAAACACTTTAGTTACATTATCAAATTTAATCCTGATACCAAATCTGTGAGATAAATACTATGATTATTCACATTTTTCACAGGAGGAAACTAGGCCAGAGAGATTATATAAGGTGCTCAAAGTCACACCTCTAGTAAGTGTCAGATCCAGGCTCTGACAGCTCACCCATTCTGACCATGGAATCCACATTTCTGACCTTCACACTACACATATAACTCTTAGATGAGAATATACGAGCACAGTCCTTTTCTGTGGGCACAGCTACATGGAATCCTGGCCTACAAGTTAATGACCATCTGCCTAGCTCAGGTTTAAAAGTCATCTCTGAAAGTCACAAAAACCAAGGGAGCAACAGAGCATAAAGTTCTGGAACCTGACAACCTCGGTTCCCATGTCTAGCTCCCCAGTTTACTGCGTGGGTGATTTAAACAAGTTGCTTGATCTCTCTAAGCCTTGGCTTTTTCATCTGTAAAATAAAAATACACCAACTCCCTTCCAGCCCGTCAAAATGATTAAGTAAGATAGTATATTTAAAGCACTTAGCTTCAGCATGTAGTGACATAGCAAACACAAAATCATTGATAAATATACTTTCACCAGTGAAACTGTAAATTACAAAATGCTAATGGATTTCAAGATGCAAAACCTAAATTGACTGTGAGTAACATACCGCAGTGCACATTTTGTAACCAACCCCAAAATCAAAGCGACATTGCTCATCCATAGAATAATTGATTCCAGGAAGTTCTGGGAGCTTGGGCCAATCATGTTCAAAAGGGTCATCAAGGAGACAGTCATAGGAACTGTAGGAAGAAAAATATTGCATGTAGTTAAATGTTCATTTTTTTAATCACATCCTAATGAAAAAGTAATAGGTTACATACTCTGGAATTTCCTCAGCTCATAGAGCAAGGTCAGAACAGCACATCTTTTAAGGTTTGGGTTTCAGTTCCAGTTAGACAAAGGACATCATCCTTACTCAATCCAAGAAAATAAAACAAACATCATTTAGGAATGTGTAGAATTGTGACAGCTTTATTCATGTCCCCAGCTAAACCCCGACATGGTGTGGCAGGGCAGAGCCTGACCCCTATGCTAGAGCGTACAGACGGCACACTATGCAGGTATCATGTGACCAGCCTCTCCCCATCCTCAGAGAGTCCATAAAGAATTTACTAAAAGGAAATCACAGTTGAAAATTCACTTAAATTCCAAGTTTATGGCTTAAAATATTATGATTATATTATGGAATCATCGTGTCAAAAGCTCTGTGTCATAAGAAGACATTTATTTTGCACAACTTTTATTTTTCATTCACCGGGAGTTTTGTTATGACCAACATCCTAGGAGTCAGTTTCATGCTTGTATTTCTGCTACAACATAAACTTTCTCATGACATGCAGAAGGGGACATACTGAATGTATCTTTTCAGTTCTTGGCCACTGCATCGGGACCAGTGGTAGCGATGAAACGCTGCCTGTACCAAGGGGGCCATGACACTTCCCATGGCAGTCTCGTCACCGCACCTGTTGCCTTGTCCATCATGCTCCATTCCCAACCTAGAAAACAGAGTGAGACCTCGCTGCTAAGAATCCTAGAGGCCATGGCTCTTGCTTAATTTCTTTTGAAAACAAATAGAGGGAAATACGTATTTTTTTACGTTAATGTGGCTTTTATGGGGGAGTCACAGAAACTGTAAAATAGAAAATAATCTAACAGAAATGCCTTTCATATGCTATAGTTATGAAAAGTACAGGGGTTTCTCTGCAAGCCAGAGTCACTTATCTAGTTTTAGTGCATGACCTCTCCACTGTTTTCGGCTCCTCACGCTTGGCAAGGGAAGAAAGTTGCATGCTGGCATGCACTCTGCCCAAAGTGTGAACAATACTGGAGAAACAGAATAAGAACTTTTTTTGCTTTATGTCAACAGTGACTTACACATGGCCAGTTTCATGCGCTACTACAAAAGCAGATGAAAAACCATCCTCATGATTCAGGGTACAACTTCTCACTGGATGACACATGCCTGTAACTGGAGCATATCCTGTAGAGAATAACAATTACTTTTATTTTCATTTTATGAGAAAACCCATTAAGAATCACTACTGGACCTTTCCCTAGAAAAAAGTTTTTCAGGAAACAGAAGCAGTATTATTTCACTGCTAGCATTGTGCCACATTCTCTTGGGAAAGCCACAGGTAATGGTCTCTAAAAAGATTCATAGGGTCTGCATTTTCTGCTTTCCTATGGGTAGAAATGGGCCCCAGTTGCCATTCCAAGTATGCCCTGTCTCTCTGTTTTAGTGAATGGTCCCTCATACCATAGTACTGATGCAGGGAACACTAAATTCCATCAATGTTAAAAAGAAACTTGTCAGTCTACTGTTTTCCATCAGAATTATTAGATAAATGTTGGCTGACTTTTGAAGGAAGCTCTTTGGCATCAATAATTTCTCATGGCATCTCCTTTCCCATTCCAAACAGTGGAAATCATACTGCATTTTACAGCACCCCCTCCATACCCTGAATGTGCAATCATTATTTAAAAGGTAAGTATAAATTTTTTATAGTACTTAAGCAGCATTTAACATTGTGAATTTCACAGAAGTCACTGTGAAAGCAAGAAACATCAAATGTATGCTTGGCTCATGCATGGTGGAAAGTGGTGGTGATCTGAACATTTGAACAGACTCCCCGATTTAAGATTATTTGGGAATATCATGCCCTTAAGTTTTTCTTCTACATATTAATGGAAATACCTTGCATTCCGGCAGGTCCAAAGTCTTGTCTGGTTAAGAAAATTGCATGATCATGGTGTTCAGAGTGGTTGGGATCAGATTTTTGTTGTTGGCAAGCCCAGCGACACACATTCTCCAAGCTTCTGGATGGGTTTCCCCTTTCTATGAGGCTGATGGACTAAGAGGAAACGATATGTGCAGGACATACATAACATTTTCCCAAAGGCCTCCTTAAACAACTCTCTCTGAAGCTGACATTTAGGATTACAGTATTTAAATAATGTTCAAAAATATTATTTGGGGCTTTTAAAATATATCTACTTTCATTTGGGAATTCTAATGCCCATGAAGGATATTGTTATGATGATCAGTACTACCTGTGTGAAGGTGACACGCACTATTTATGGGAATATGTGATGCTGAGGTTTGTTCTTGTGAGGCAGCTCAGTATTAATCACTGGGGTAAGAATCCTCACAGCCTGAATATGTCCTAATTCAGTTTAGACTTAGTTTCATTGATATTAAGAACAAAAATAGAGGGCCAGAGTCTGGCATAAGACTTTCATCCAGAGCTGTTAAAAGTGAAAGATCTTTAGTTAAATATATATATGGCCAGAGTTAATCAACATATGGGAAGAACATAAGTTCTTCAATGAGCTGGCAAAGCTGATCAAACCTTTACTTATGGAAAGTGTTCAAATTATATAAACCTCACAGTGAAAAAACAACTACCCTCTTTGAACCACACAGTGATGATGAGGGGTGTACTCTTATTTTGCAGTTGGAGTAGATAGATTGACATTCTGTGGCATGGTGGAGTTAAAAGTTGGGAAGGAAAAGGGTCCATCCTCCATGAACCAGTACCCACTTTCTACAGTAATTCTGAAGGAGTGAGAAATTTAACTTAGAACCTAAAATTAGTCCCTACTTGACTGTCAGGCTGAGGGTTTTTTATATCTCAGCAAATGTTACTATCAGTGTTTACATTCTGAATAAAGTTAGCCTGGTTGGTCATATGCTGGCCATTCTCCAAACAAGCGATTAACAACTGACTGACTGCTGTTAGTTTCTCCAGCTGGAGCTGAATTGTACTCAGTGTTAGTGTACAAAGTTAGTCAGGTTTATTCTGATAAACTAAAGATCAGTGACACCTCTCACCAGAAATGATAAGAACAGATGTTAAATACATAATGAAATGCAAACACATGGATACTTCCTGTTTGCTAAATGCATAATTTCATTAGTATTTCATAATCAGGAGGATTAATTATGGGAGAAGAACATGTGATTTTGAACATCAAGAAAACTGCCAAGTTAGTCACTCCTCCTGTTTTCTCCTCAAAGAGAGAAACCACTTCGTTCATTTCATTATTTCCAAAGATAGGGGCATAGCTACTGACAGCAGGACAGCCCTACTGTCTTTTACAGATAGCTGAAGTTAGTTGCATTACATGACATGCCTACCATGTACATTTTGATTCAATTTTTTGTTTTCAAAGGATTAAAGCTCTTTCAAATGAAAAATATTCAGTGTGTTTTACTTTTCCTAAGTTGAAAGCTATACATGTATAATATGGCTTTTAACAAATCACGAGAAGGCAAGGATCTTTGGTTATTTTTCTTCACTAATATGTTCAAAGCTCCTATAAAATGTCTGGCATACAGTAGGCATTCAACATAAATGTTTTGAATAAATAAATGAGTCACACATTTGATGATAACACTAGACTAAGGAAATCCTCTCTCCTCATAATGGTATCTATTCATTCTCATTCATACAAATGCCTATGGTCAGGATAACTATCTACAACTCCATTAGACAGGTAAACAAAGCAAATGGTACCAACACAAAATCATTATCTGGTCCAATCTGGAGGTCTCCATTCATTGCAGCAGTTTCTCTTCCTCAGTTTAGAGCAACTGGGGTCTATGTGAGACATATCTTGAGCAATTTTATCTTTTGCTTGCTAACCCAGTCCGTAATGTTCATAGTTCGAGTACTTTAAGATAGTTTACCTTTGCATAACCCAGCATTATCATGCGCACCAGGACCACATTTATATGTACTCCAAGGGACTCATCATGGTAAATTTCATTCACCTAGAAACAAAGCAGATAATTGGTAAAAGAAAGGCAACACAAAGGATTTCATGAGGTGCACAGCATTTCAGGGATTAGCCATGTAATCACAAGTACTAGAGTCAAATCACTTTTTTTTTAAGTGAGTTTATACTGAACTCTAAAATGAAATCACTTCCCCTTATCTTTGGAACATTTCTGGATATGTGAATTACTGATCTTGTAAATGCTACAGTACCATGAACATAGAAAGTATGTTTTCAAAGGGCTTCACTGAACTATAGTATTATATATAAATTGTCCACATGTGCTATATTCCACATGCAGCATACACCAAAAGTAGTCACAAGCAAGTGACTCTGGCTAAGTGTCTTCTAGCTGTGAGTGACTTCATCCACTCAGGAAAAGAGACAGCAGGCATTTGCCTTCCAGGGATCCCATGTCACCATCAGGGGTCCTATGTCTGGTTGGAGGAGTGAATGGAATGGAGCTGGCGGGCAGGAGTGGTGGTGGTCTACCTGCAGGCCAGTAAGTGGGTTGCCTTCCCAGTGCCTCCTGCTCTTCCCCCTGCTACCTACTAACCCGTGGAGCCACTGAAGCAATGATTATTTAGAAGTCCACTGCATAGAAGTCCTTCAGTATTTGAATTAGTATGGTGACTGCATGAGTGCATATATCAAATGAGTATCAGCCCTGGGTATAGCTCAGAAATGCAACATTGTGTTACTGCTTTGTATTTGGTTTTAAAGTTATGATACAATTTCTAGAAGTTGAGTTTGAATACTTTAAACTCATAGATATTAGAATTAAAGCAACCTCATGAATTTACAAAGGTGAAGAAGATAAAGACTGTAGAGGTTAACTGACTTGCAAAACACACAGCAAATTACTGGCAGATATGAGCTGGTGAAAAGTCAGGGAGCATAAGGATTGCTTAGTAAACTGCATGAATGGGAAAGGTCGAGTTATCTGGCTAGCTTACAAAATTCTTAGCTGCTCCCAGGAACAGGGATGCAACATTTGTCACAATGACTAAAAGAGGGATGGGAAACCCAACTGCAATTCAACATGAGATCAGGCGGTTTACAAAGTAAACAAAGCAAGTTTAAAACTCACAGAGAAAAGATAGGCATAATCTCATATAGAGAGGCTTGAACAGAAATATAACTCAAGAATGACTGAATGTTCTAAAAAAAAAATTCATGAATTATTAAATTGTGAATTGCCATCCTGACCAAGAAACTGACTAAAAATCTCAAATGAGATGTTTCAAGAATCTAATGGGAGTGCATGGAACACCTTCAAAAATTAAGGCCTTAAATGTAGACTAAGGCACACTTACTGACTGTGGAAGGGTAAAAAGGGAACAGCTAAGATGGAGGTGAAAGATCTGATGAAGAAGCGAGTATATATAAAATGACAAAGTGTTGTTTAACAAGAGAAGACGTAGAGTCCTTCTAAGTGGAAAAAAGCATGTTTGTACATGGACACACAGTCACAAATGCACACATGTGCATAGATTGAATGGGGCCCAATTTAATCAAGAAAAGCCAAGGAATGAAAATAATCTGCAGTGTGCTCTTCCATTGCACAGGAGAGCAGGCAGGTAGCTCCCAGAGTTGTCTCGCTGTTGCCCAGGGCACACCTGAAGTATTCAGTTCATTTTGTCTGTGCTGTCTTACAGAGAGGTGGTGGCCAACATGAATGGATCCAGATGGAGCAAAGAGCAAGGAGCCCAGAAACTATGTCACACAAAGAATGACTGGGGAGACACAGTGACTAAGAGCCTGACACCAGACACTAAGAGTCTCAGGGTATCTCAGTTCAACCCCTCATTCACATCCGGATTCATCTTTCTGAACCTCCATCAAACGGATATAATAAGAATACTACCTAACAGAGATGGGCTAAGAATGAAAAGGTTTAATTCACACAAACAAATTGCTAAAACATTTTATGAGTCAGAAAGGAAGAGGAACATGAAAAAACATTACAGCGTGGGAAGCAGAAAAGAAAGGCCTCAAAAGAAGACTTAATAGCTGCCATATGGAAAAGGGGTTCAATTTGTTCTATGAATCTACAGAAAATAAAACAAAAACTGTGGGTTAATACTATGAAAGGGGTAGATTTCAGGTCAATATAAGGAAAAACTTAATGCTGGGCAAAAATCTACGATTTCTTATGAGGTTTTTGGTCACGGGCAGTTTTCTTTTATCTATCCCCCACCTCATTTGGCCTGAGTGAAGACTGAATCACCCCTCCTCTTCTGCATTAGTTATCTGATAGGGAAATTCCTAAAATTATAGTTTTAATACAAGTAAAACGTCCAAAGCCAGGCCTGTGACTAACATGTTCATGCAGAGACTCATGGACAGTCCAAGACACTTCTCATAAGGCAGCTGTTTCAAATTAACAACATGGCTTCACACGAAATCGTAATGTGTACTTAGCTTAATTGTAGCTGAAATGTAAATGCATTGAATATAAAAATAAATAAAGAAAGTTGAAAGCAATGTTAGCAAATACACAACATAGGGGAACAATAAAATTTAAAACTAAAGTAGTTGGATGTTAAGGAACTTGAGTTAATTTTTGGAGGAGAGGTGTTGGAGGGAAGAAGGCCCTTATAGTCCTGCAGAATAGCAGAAAAGCAATACTTTTAAATACTATAGGAAATGCCTACATCAGAAAATCTTAAGAGTCATAAAATGAAGGAAAGGTGATAATAATGAAAAATAATGTGTGATATCTGAGCCAGTATGCTATACATATAACTGCCTGAAACTAGTAAATTCAATTTACTTGGTAAGTTTTTAAATCAGTACAGTCTAAAGAAGGTATAATGGACAAAACTCATGCTCTCAGTGGCAATATTACATTATGAAATGATGGAATGAAAGGACACTTTTTAAAAAGTCAAATTTACCGTTACCCAAAGGAAAGTATTATTTAACAAATGCCAATATTATGCCAGTCTAATTACATAACAGGGTGGTCCAGTAGAAACCAAAATCAATTATGGAATGTTCTGAGTCAGCACACATTTGTGAAACTGTCACAGGGTATAAATAATGGGTAGCAATAATCTAATATAAGGCAATGATATTTATACATAGCAGAAAGTGTTCTTTCAGTGTGACAAATGAACAAATATTAGGTGTCTGTGCAGAGCACTGGATGTCACTTATTATTTTGCTTTTCAAGGTTTAAAAAATGTTGTTTCCTATACATTTTTCATTTAAAAGGTACTTAATAATTTGGATGCTTTCCATCTTGCCAGGCCTTATAAACTAAAGGATACAATGTGTTCATAACTTTGAGACCTATAAAATGGGTTAAGAATTGAAGAAATAGTAAACACCATAGGATAAGATGATTAAAGACCTGGATTCTGGCACCAGCTATGCCACCAAGAGAGGGAGCTACTTTGGGTTGGTTACATAAGCCTTCAGAGCCTCACTGGCAAATTTAATTGGACCTGCTCTGCCTGTTTCACAGGGTTGGTCAAATCAAATAAAAACCCACACAACTGTCCTCAGTAAAACACAAAGAACTTTAGTATCTTTCCACCTATCCATAAAAGCAGTTTTAAAGATTTGTGGATGCATTTTCATAATTTACCTGAAAAGAGCAAGAAATACAACAGCCCCCTTAGTTTTCAATGAAAGGGACTTCAAATTCCTATACTTGAAACTTGTTTAATCTCAGCTGAATGAGAGATGTAGTTTAAATTATCAAATAAAGAAGTGTGGGAAAAATAATTTGACACTAATTGTTTCATAATATCTAAATGTCGTACAAAAGTTCTTTCCAGCAGATGGCAGTATACACATGTTAGAGGGGGTACAGGGCAGGCTGCTTAATATATCTGAGCATACATTATCAGTGTGTCCTTCTTTTCCTATATTTACACATAAATAAAATAACCTCCTTAAAATGTAATAAGAATTTTAAAATATTCTAACTTAAAGAAAGCATTAAGAGTCACTCTTAAAAGCAAAGAAAAATAATGAAGACATCTTTGTTTAGATTCTTTTTCAGGGTCATCTGATCAAAACATTCTATAAGAGGCAGAGAGAAACTCCCATGACCTGGTTATAAATTAATCATAAATTTTAACAAGCAAAAATTATATTATAGAAAGAACTAAAAGCATATCATAATGAATGAACCATTTGAACCCTCTAGGATGAACTAAAGTAATATGTGTTAATTAAGAATATTATAACTCGTAGTGACAAGGAAAGCAATTTTTTCCTAGGTAAGAGCAACATCAACAAAAAACAAAAACAGCAGCTAATATTATACAGGCCTTTCCAGATTATTGACACTGTTCTAATACTTTACCTATATTAATTCAAAGTAGTCTTTGCAACAACTTTAGAAATACTAATTCTATTTTACATCTAAAATGTTGAGGCCCAGAGAAAGTAAGTAACTTGCCCATGGTCACACAGTTAGGAGACAGAGAAGAGGATGAAAACTGAGGGAGTCTGACTCCAGACTTGATTGTTTTCAGCATATTGCTACACTTCCACAGACTTGCAGACCACAGCAGTCACTTAGCACAAATACTTGTCTTTAGAATTATCAATAGCATCTTACTATCCCTGAATATAAGGAACTGATGTGTAAGCATATTGAATAAGAGAACTTAAAAACCTCACTTCCTTTTCATGATCTTCCTCCATGTAAATTTAAGGAAATAGTTGGGCTCTGAATTTATAATGTATAAGGATTTCCTGATGATCAGTATAATGGTATTTTAAAAATTATTGGAAAAAAATAAAGAGGAGCTAGAGTGGATCACTGGAAAACACGGGTAAGAGAGAAAAAAAAGAGATAAGGCTCACATTTATAATCAGTGTTTTGTGTTGTAAGAAAAGCATTAAACTACACATTCTGAGGAGTCACCTGTTGGACACTACATAATACAGATCAAAGCTTGTCTATGCAAAACTGAATATTCTTTCACCATGTGAGCTCATCTATTAGAGCATGGGTAGATTTTCTGTGAGGTG